CAGCTGTTCGAGGGGTAAGAGGCTGTTCGTTTCCCTCCGGTGGCTTCGGACCTGCTTTGAGACCCTAATTCCCTCCAAACGAGAGCCTAACTCTGTGAGGAGGAAGCCACAGAGCTGCTCTGGGGCTCGGCTTCTTGTGGGAATCCCGTTAACAGTACTTCTGTTTGCTCGGTGTGTGTGTGTGTGTGTGTGTGTGTGTGTGTGTTTGTGTGTGATCAAACCAGTACCCGCTGCTGTGTTGAACCGAGTTTCTGATGGAGGAACACCTCGGCGTAGCACACGTCTCAGGACGTGGGGGGTAAGAGGGATGAAGCCGTGGACCTGTGTTCGGGAAACAGTGACCCTTTGTCTGGGCAGCCAGAGCACAAGTTCTGCTAAAGGGCACCCCCGATTATGATGTGTGGCTCCATGGTGAATCCGAAACAAGACAAATCACGAGAGAAAAATGTAACACGTTGACCTTTAAAGCTCCAGACGCAGACGAGGAACATTTCCAGTTTTGGGAGAGCTTTCTCTTGAGAAGGTGCTTCGGTCACTCTGTTAGAGAGATGACCACAGGGTGGATTTTACTTGGCTCATAATCAATCAGTGACATGATACAGTCCAGTTCAAACTGACCAGGTTTAAAGGAATAAAGAGCAATATCTGAATAATAAGAACAGACCTGATCGATTGAATTTCAAATGCGTTCAAGTCCTGTGATTCGTGTGGGAAATCTTAAAATGAGATTCTTTTCGGATATGACGGGACACAGTTTAAGTGTTGAGTGTGGCACTACTCAAATTCGGGTTTATTTATCCACCTTCCAGGGGTCGCATCAGGAATGCTTTTCAGAAACAGATACCATTCTTTCTGATTCCTCCTCCTGCTCACTTCTAAATCACCGCTCACCCAGAGTGATCGGGGCTGTCTAATATCAAATTATTATTAAATATTTTACTCTGAGACAGAATATTGATCATTTTGGTCAAATGAAAAAGGTGTCAGAAGTCCCAGAAAACTACATTTCTAAATGGGAACCAATGGCTGTAGTCTGATGTGGTGTTTGTTTCCCTTTCAAAGGGCCGCCCACAACTCATGGGAGTGGGTTAAAGCCACGCTGACCCCTGTTGTGTATTTAGGTTTTTGCGTACTGTTCCATGACTTGCTGTGTTCCGTCTGAGTGGAAGATGCTGAAGAAGTGAGTCCTGCTTTAAACCCGATGAGTTTGTTTTCTGTGGGATTTCGGCACCTGGGCAGCTTTATCGCAAAAACCAGAAGCCCGTCCAGGGATGGTGACACGTGTTGGGTCCATGGAGGGGAGTCCTCAGCATCTTAGACCTGCTCCTGGTCCACATCGTGGGACCACCTGAACACAGAGCGATGTGACACATGATGAAGAGGTTCTGTGGCTCTCCTCTGACCGGCTTGACCGCTGTTCTCCGGACAGGGCGGCCCCACCCGGCAGCCAGCGTTGACCTG